TAGGTGTTTCGGTGTGCTATACGAACGCATGTAGTCTTAGGAATAAGCTCGCCGAATTAGGAGAGTTATCTGAAAGACTACAACCTGATGTAATTGCTATCACTGAGACGTGGTTGTTAGTGGGTGTAGACTTAACTCCACTCATACCTGGGTATATCTGCATACGAGCAGACAGAGTAAGTAGTCGGAAAGGTGGGGGGGTTGCTCTTTACATCCGGGATGACATAGGGATCAGGTCAACGTTGTCAGAAGCTCATGACAGCGGCACCAGTGAAGCCGCAAGTTGCATCATTAACTTAAACAAAGGCACTTTAACGATCGGAGTTATCTACAGAAGTCCTGCTAGCCAAGCTGATGACTTCGTTCTAAATCACTTGAGGGCGTGGGGTAGTAGAAATAGGTGTCTGATTGTTGGCGACTTTAACGCTCCACATATTAATTGGGGGGAATTAAACTCCACTAGTTTGTATACCTGTTTCAATAGGGAGCTCACATTGACAGTGCTTGAATGTGCACTCGTGCAACATATGCATGCACCAACACGGTATCACCCTGAACATGATCCATCTACTCTAGACTTGGTATTGACACACCAGAAGGAGGACGTTGGTAACATTAGGTGCCTCCCGCCGCTTGGCAGCAGTGACCACATAGTCATTGCTTTTACGTTTAGGATTCATTCTCTCATGCACAGGCCAAAATCTGCTCGTCCAAACATTTGGAAAGCGGATATACAAGGAATCCGGAACGCAGCAACTGTGGTTGACTGGTCAGTTGATACAAGTCAGACTGTCGAGGAAGCTTGGGTAGGATTTAGGAATACACTAGATCGTGTCACTTCACCTTTTATACCTTGGTACACTCCTCGAAAGCCGTCGCATGAACCTCCTTGGATCACTAGTGAAATAAGGAGGTTATTAAGACGGCGAAAGAACTTATGGGACCAATTTGTTATGACAGGAAGGGAAAACTTCCAGAAAGACTACCGCAAAATTCGAAACCTCTGTAAGTATGCGATTAACAAGAGTCGTATAGAGTACGAGAGACGATTAGTACTAGATTGCGTTCATTACCCAAAAAGGTTTTACTCGTATATTAAACGTAGGACTAAAACTAGCAGTGGTATACCGTCACTCATAACCATTAGTGGAGAAGCGGCTGAGTCAGACGAAGGGAAGGCTGAAAACCTCTCTGAATACTTCTGTGACGTCTTCTCGTCTGATAGTACCACCCAGGGATATGGCGAGGTCACTGCCATCGCCACTCAGATGCCCTCAATTGTGGTAGAGCACACAAAGGTTCTCAAACTACTGTCTAAACTGAAGCCAGGTAAATCACCTGGGCCGGATGGACTCCACCCTAAGTTGTTACTTTCCTTGGCGGATATAATATATATTCCGCTTACGGAGATTTTCCAAATGTCTCTGACGCAGGCTAAGCTACCCAGGGACTGGAAGGATGCCATTATAAGCCCTATCTTCAAGGACGGGGATAGGCAATTGGTATCTAACTACAGGCCGGTAAGTCTGACATGCATTATTGCAAAGGTACTGGAAACTATTATAAGGGATCAACTATTAGCTTATGTTGAAACACATGGCTTGTTGGCTGTGGAACAGCATGGATTCCGACCAGGACGATCCTGCTTGACAAACCTACTATTGGCTAGGGAAGACTGGGTTGAGGCCAGAGATAGGGACCATCTGTTGGACGTGGTTTTTATTGATCTTAGCAAGGCGTTCGACAAAGTATCCCACTTAGGTCTCCTTAGTAAACTGAAAGGTTTCGGACTAGACCAATGCCTATGTGAGTGGTTTAGAGATTACTTAATGGATAGAAGGCAGAAGGTTAGAGTTAATGGTGTACTATCAGGATGGAAAGCAGTATCCAGTGGAGTGCCCCAGGGAACTGTATTAGGTCCATTGCTATTCCTATTATACGTTAACGAATTACCAGGGATTCTTTCTTCATCTTCATTATTATTTGCAGATGACATTAAGGTATGGAAAACTGTAAACAATAACGAGGATAGGTTGGCCCTACAAACTGATTTAGATAAATTAGCTGAGTGGTCAAGCCTATGGAGTTTGGAAATGAATGCTAGGAAAAGCGCGGTAATGCACTTAGGTCAGAAGTCTTATACGTCGTACTCCCTAGGGGATGCAGAACTACCTGATGTTAAAGAACAGAAGGACCTAGGAATCATTGTCAGCAACGATTTGAAAACAACTGCAAATTGCAATGCAGCCGCAGCTAAAGCTTTTCGAATGCTATGGGCAATTCGAAGGGCTTTCAAACGATTAGACGAGGGCATGTTCCAAATACTCTACGCAACATATGTCAGGCCTCATCTAGAATACTGCATACAAGCGACGAGTCCATGCTTCAAAAAGGAGGCACATATTCTGGAAAGAGTACAGAGAGTAGGAACAAAATTAGTTAGTGGTATCTCACACCTTCCTTATGATAAGAGGATGGAGCATTTAAATCTCTTCCCGTTATCATACCGAAGGAAGAGAGGCGACTTAATTTTAGCATACCGTATACTTAAGGGTGATTTAGGAACTGACCTTTCTAACCTTTTCTCCCCTTCTAGGATACATTTACGGGGTCACCGCAAAAAGGTGCTCAAACCAAGGACGATTAAAATACGTGCAGAATTTAGATTCTCTCACAGAGTGGTCAACGATTGGAACTCCTTACCTGATTCAGTAGTATCAGCTCCATCGGTGAACGCTTTCAAAGAGAAGTTAGATCTCTGCAGAGATATACTTTGCAAGGATTAACACAGGCCACAAGAGCCTTCTATCCTTATCATCTGAATCTGAATCCTGATTACGAGCTAGTATAAACCAGTGATTTCTTTGAGCTCGCTTCTTGATTGTGAGGTATGTCAGTGGATTTATTTGCTGAATTCAGTGAATTCATTCTATGCCGAAGTCTAAGAACTTGGCATTATTAATGGTTCATCCAAAATTTCGAAGACGTGATAACTTTATGGAACTTCAAGTATCGCTTGACTATTATTTTCAGGGAACTGCTGATCAGCAGTCAGCTGACCTAGGTTAATCGGGATGGAAACAACTTGGATACTGCAGTATATTAGTACCTATATACACCCAGACCATATATATAGACATTCAAATCCGAATGTAGGCACCCAAGATCACAGTATGTACTATAATACATGCAGTCTTCCTGTTATCAGTTGGAATACATTAAGGTTTCATTCACTTTCAGGATTAATCTTGAGATCAGTTGGATTAAAGTAGTTGACGCCATCAGTATTGAGAGATGACAGCAATGAGAGTAAAATTAGGTGACAGATTTTACTGATATAGTTTTATAACTAGTGGCCGTCTAAGTTAATAATAGATCCGTTGTGACAATAATACCCGGTATTGTTGTTACTATTGTAATCATCATGAAGATAAACGCTGTTATTATTGCTGTTAACACTGTTATTATTTGCCATAAATCCATGGTCATTTGTGTTAGCATTCCTGTTCAAGCTTTGAAAACTACTGCATTACTTATTAAATAATTTAATCATTTCATAATGCTTCCATAGACCTGCTAGATGTCGAACAACAATAAATTATGAGGTCCCTTAAGCGAAAACTATTTAGCTACCCGTATATATTGCTTGTAAAGTGATTACTTGTAAATGCTTAGCAAGAAATTATCTGGAAAATTTTTTCATTCAGATCACACATTTATACTCAAGGGTAATGATGCTTTTCTTGAACTCTTGAAGAAACATGTATGTACTGTGTGCGCGGATGGAACAGTAACAAAGGACTGCTCATCTAAATTATCTGCACAACTGAAATCTATTTTTTTGTGTAATAAACACTTTCAGTGAATTTGTTTTCCTTCTGTTGTTATGCGATTGTGTTCTGCTGAGACGATAGATAACTGTAAACGTTTTATAATCGAAATACCGTCTTCGGGGTGTGGATTTATTTACTTTCTTTGGTAACCTGATGATCGTTTGATCAATAAACTCCGAACATCTATTTTTACTTAGTAATTCAATATTTTTTTTATCCTAGGAGCCTTAGTGTTTTACGTCTGGGCTACTCAGTTTGTTCAGAGAACTTTAAGTTACTAGAGTATCTGATACCAAGATCCACGACTGAGTTGAGCTTGGCTAGTTTTCGCCCATTTATTTCAAGAGTTAGGTCAATGTTACTGTTGCCAACACAAATCCAGCCGCATTTTTCAATGTTAAACTTTAGGCAGGATTCAGCACACCATGTTGCGAGACCACTTAGTTCAAGATGTATTTTAGTAACCATATCGCTTAATTCATGAGTGTAGCAGGAGTCGACGACTTCGGGGTCATCAGCATATAGGAATGGTGTGAAGGAACTTATCCCCAAGTTCCTATTGTTATGAAGACGCTTCACATCGACTTTTGGCGAGCTTACTAGCATGGAAATGTGTAGCACAACGAATACTTAACATATTTTTTAAAAATATTTTTCTCCAGTCTATTTGGTGGGTAGGCATCAATTGACCAAATGACCGGCTGTCTACAGCCTGCCTTGATCCTCACCCGAGCCTTTGACACAGCTTTGCTGTCTCTCGTATTGTCTGTATTGTATTTCTCGTATTGACGCACACTAACTGTGCTTTTGATGGCATTCAGCCACAGACACCTCCCAGTATGAGGTTTGTAAATTATGCCATTTTATGTTTGATATAGTACCTTATTCTAGGCGAATCCTGTGGCTTTAGATTTTACGCATCACTCTGAGTGTGGTTTAAGTAATGGTTTGGATTGTCACGGATTTCTTAGAAATTCACAGTCAGGTAGATTCATATGCTTTTCTGGTTTCTAAAGAAGGTTCATGCTGAATTTCACCTAGAATTGTGTACTTCGTTAGTAGCTAAATTTATTCTATGACTTACCCTAATAACGTATTTCCGTATGTCTGTATTTTTCGTGGCTGTACATATAATTCATGGGTAATCTGGTTTAATTTACAGATATAATGTCCACCAATACTTTTCAGTCCTTTTCCAGTTCGAACAAATATACTGTCGCCCTTTGTGTTTTAAATCAGTGGGCGCTTGACTTTACTGGGAATACTCAACGTATTATCAAAAGTATTCAAATTGCCAAACGTTTGCAAGCTAAATATCGAGTTGGTCCAGAACTAGAGATTTCAAGTTATGGATGTGAAGATCACTTCCACGAACCGGATACATATACCCACTCATGGCAGTCTATTGCAAAGATTTTAGAAGAAATGAAAGCAAACCCTGAAATGCAAGATATTGTTTGCGATATTGGGATGCCGGTTTTACATGAAGGTGTAGCTTATAACTGCAGAATTCTCCTACTGAATGCAAAGATTTTGCTGATAAGACCAAAACAAGTACTTGCTGATGAAGGCTTACATAGAGAGACTCGCTGGTTTACTTCATGGCCTCATTATCAATCCATTGTTCACTTTGAGTTACCCGATTTTGTATGTAGAGTAACTCAGGATTTACAGTCGTCTACATTTTTTGGTGATGCAATCTTACGGTTTGCTGGAGACGGCTGTTCAGAGAATGTCCAGGTTGGCTTAGAAACTTGTGAAGAACTGTGGATAGGAACTCCACCTCATATTCGCATGTTTGCAGCTGGTGTAGATGCAGTCTTTAATGCCAGTGCTAGTCATCATGAACTTCGAAAACTAAATCGAAGAGTAGAACTCGTTAAGTGTGCAAGCAGAACAAATGGCGGAGGACTTTATGCTTATACAAATCTTAGAGGATGTGACTCAGGAAGGGTATGTTATGATGGCTGCGCGTTAGCTGCTGTTAACGGTCAGCTTATTTATATGAGCGAACAATTTGGATTTGAGGATGTGTCAGTTCATCCAATTACTGTCTCCCTTAACTCGATACGATCAAAACGAATTGCTAGCCGTTGTTTTGGACGTGCAGCTGTAGAAAAATCGGTTGCAAAGCTTGAAGCTACCGGTATCGCTCACAAGGATTACCCAGTGATTAAGGTACGGTCTTAGATTTAAAAAAAATTTAACATCAGTCTTATAAACCCTTCATTTCGAAATTGAATTTCTGTATGTTAGCTGTATTGATATAATGATTATAGACTGAGAGATTCTAGTTATGCTTCTAACAGACTAAGTGGATGACTAAAGCAGCGTAAAAAGTTGACCGAAAACTAATTAACTAATTTGTGAGAAATGGCAGATTATGATGTGATCAGCTGAGAAGGGATTTTTTCATTGACGTCTTACAAATTATGATTATTCTTGGAACCAAACTAGATAATCAATAAGACTGATAAACTAGCTAAGAAGTTGTAATTATATTTCAACATCCAATGAGATAATCCTGTTATTTATGTTCAGCGAATCAAAATGAAATCAGTGCAATACCTATGGCTTAATTCTCTTAGTCTTCAAACGCAAACTACAAATTGGTCGGTTTAAAACAGCTCCCGTCACTTAAGCGTGCAATAGGATAGTCCCGGTAGCCGCAATAAACTAGTGTAGACCTTGTGAGTCACACCAAGTGAGATTTAAAATCTTATTTTTTCATTCAGTAGTACACAGTAAATTATATCAAGATGGTAAACATCCATAGCACAGTAACTGGTTAGTTGAATTACTTCTGATAATTATGAAAGCAAAAATGCTCCCGAAAGTTATAACATCCTTATGAAATTTAATAGTGATTATATAATGCGCAGTTTTCTAGTAAGATTAAACGACAATAATACCTGTTAATGTGTGGAGAAAAGGTGTTATAATATCTTGGTAAATAATTGAATTTTTCAGTAGATATAAGCAACGTTATCCCTTTTTCTAATACTGTAGATTTTTCCATTCTATTTCTTGTCCCACTTATATACTTCGCAACACATCTTCTGTGACGTTGTCTGTAGCCGGTAGATTAAATTCATTGATCACGTATTTGCTCATTAAGTAGTTATGAATCTCATTTTTCGTGAGTAAGCTACTAACACTATCCAGTAGTTGAAATTTTAGTAGATGGGAGGCTATTCAAGTAGATAACCAGTTGATTAAAAGATAACGAGTCAGTGAATTATTGAAACTCGCCTATTTCTAATCTCATTGCTAATGATTGATTGACATAACTGACCGGATAATTTGCATAGTTTCTTTCAACTTTTAAAGTGCCTCTTAGATAAGATTACTGGTTACAACCTACTGAAAACACTTAACGGTCACTAATTGTCGTTACGCCAATTTTAGAGGCCGTATACATTTTCATAAATTGTCAACCGATGATTATTTTTGTTGATTATTATTTCTAAAGACACATTTAAACTACTTTCTGTCTACAGGTTGCTTTCAATCTTTGTCATAGTGATTATTGGTTTGATCACTCCCGTGAAATAAAGATTGATACTCACATACTATCACCTGCTGAAGAGATTGCCTATGGTCCTGCATTATGGTTGTGGGATAATTTACGTCGGAGCAAGTCATCAGGGTTTTTTCTTTGCTTAAGCGGTGGCTTAGATAGTGCTTCAGTTGCATGCATTGTCTTCAGTCTTTGTTATCAAGTTAGTTTTCAGGTTGTTAAATGTGGTATTGTTTATGACATATTTTATCCATCAGTTTACATTTATGCACGATTCAGTTCTCATCCTAAGGACAAATAAATGTCTTCAGGTAGTAGCCTTAATAAGTAACTATCATCGTTCCTTCAAGATTCAGTTCAAAATTTTCAGGTACTCCTCTCTGACTATTTTCAACCATCACGTGAACTTACACCTACGCAAACAGATAGTGTAGGTAGAAAAGTTTATTTCTCGAAATGAATTTAAAACAAGCAACATGTTGATAAAGTATGATTTAATCTATTCGTCAAATTTCAGTAGAATTTGTCAACTGAATACAGAGTATTCAGTGTTATATATATAGTGAGAAATAAGTAAGGTGATAAGTAAGGAGTGGAAAGGATAAAAAAGACTGACAGTTAAGTTTATGGTTGGTTGGAGTTCAGTCACACAATCATAATAAACAATTAGTTGTCCGAGAAAGTACATGGTAATATTAAGAATTGTAGAATAAGTAATAATAGTAAAGCAAATCAAAACCGAGGTAAAAAGTTTTATTTTGATAACGATATTGACAAAGTTGGTTTTAACCAGGACAATAATAATGATAATAAAATGAAATAAAGTAGCAATATTAAGAATTAGAGAAGTAAAGGACTGTACCATGACAGGTTCAAAGTGACCATCGTCTTCTTTTGTACACAAGGACTTGATGTATGGTCCGTAATCCCACAAGCCTCTGCAATTGCAAGCATATTTCTGTTTATTTGTCTGTTGATAGCAGCATATAACTGATAGCGTCAGTATCATGTCCGTACTCTAGAAGATGATTTGTTAGCTAACTCTTTCGTATATTGGCTTTAGCATTTTTTCCAACCATTTGGACATATGTCTGACGATTCGAATAGACACCTGCCTTTCAGTACTATCTATGTAATTATTTTCACAAATTCAGTCAAATTAACATAGTTAAAAGTGTCGGGGATTGACAACAGGTTTTTCTCATATTGTTGAGGAACCCACTTGATGGTATTGGGCTAGATGAGTTTTGGAGTTAATAAACTCTTATAGCTTCGTCTAGTCTTCGTTTACCTATTTCTTGTACATCGTTTCCCCTAAATGATAGACTACCATATGCTGGCTTTTTTAAAACATTTGCGATGGTTTTATTGACTCACATTTCTTTAAAATACTCGTTGATAAACTACTCAGAAAGTCCATTCTTATATCAAATATTCTTCAGGGTCTTTATTTCGTTTTCATATGCGCTGCCTTGATAGACTTTTTGCTTTCTGTTGGACAAGGCCTTAACTAGTTTCTTTTTGTATTAGATGAGAACAAAGCTCTTAAAGTGTATGTACTATATTATCCACAATGAATTTCTAAATATGGACCTTCATACACTTCCAGGAGTCCTCTTCACCAGAGTTGCATCTGGGAATCTAATAATATCATATTCCTCATGTGCTGTTGTACAGTGAAGATTAAGGTGATGGGAATCGAGTATCGTCAATAAGTTTTATGCTTCTGATTTACTCTTAAGCAATGGAAATGCCATTTGCATATCTTTTTTACAATTCTGTCTATCTCAGTTTGTCGACTTCTAGGCCTGACAATAAGAAGTTTGCAAAAGGTAGCCCTCAGTGGATTCCCATTGCATTACTTTCGACGTGACTCAATAGCTGGCCACAATTGAAATTGTTCATCTTTACTGCATAAAATTAAAAATTTCCTCAAATCTATCGACAACCTCTCTGCAAATAAAGTTGATGATAGTCTCAATGACTGACACATTAGTAAACAGATTAGTAACATCAAAGCGGGGCAAAATGCGTAGTCGTTACCTTAGGATTAGCAGTCCTTATGATAAACTTCAAGGAATCAGAAACAGTGTATGTTCCAATTCTTTTTCATAGAAGCTTCAGTAATTCGCATTGTCACTGACATAATTTATGATATGGTGGATTTGCAATTGTGAGTATACGTTGTAGAAACACTCCTGACTTGTTCATTTTCATTTGTTCATATAATTTAGGGAATCGTCACCCTATCGGCTAAATATTTTTGAACGTGTCTTCGTCAATGGAGGTAACTTGTAGCCCAGGACACCACTTTGTAAAGTGATCTATTATCGTTTAAAAACATACTACTCATAATAAGTGCTGAGAATTCCACACTGTTTGGAATCAAACTATTAATTTAAAAATAATAACAATAGTAATTATTATTACAAAACAGAAAGATTGAGCGAATAAATATTTGCTTTTCAATTAGATCCTCATCTATGGCTCTACTCTAATAAATATATACCATTTTTATTACAGTACACAACAGTTTACCAATTAAGTGGCGATATGTTTGTTAACAATAATTAGTCAGTGTCAAAATGTCAATGGGTTGATAATAAACGGAGAAAATCAATACACATTTAAGAGGTAGAAATGGTTAGAATAAATTAATTTTTACAAGGATAACACGTAATTAGAGATGAAATGGTCAGAAAAAATAAAATAATTTGGACAATTATAATTTTTATAATTTTAAAGGTTTAGGGGGAGAGGGGGGTGAAGAAGTCCGGTTTATACATTCATGTAACGATGGCCAAGGTAAGGAAAGTGGCTGTACAATTTTCTTCTGAACACACAGGTTTGGCTTCTTCAAGTGGGTTCCTGTTGCTTCAGCTGTCTGTAAAAGACGAACTCGTAGAGCAAAATTAAGATCAGTAGGAATGCGATAGATAATTTTAAATGCTGTATTAACATCAACCTTATGGTCACTGTTTACAAGGTGTGCTAAAACAGGGCATTATTAAACTGTGGTTGTGCGATGCAGACAATGGGTTCCAACGGAGTATTATTCTCACATTCAATACTGCATTAGCAACAGAATACTATATGTATTTGAACATTCTATTTCATGTCGTTTGATGTAGACCAAAATCACACGTTCAGTGATTGGTTGAAGAATATAAACTGTATAGATATAAATAGCTGTTTGCTAACTTGAGAATATATCTTGGCTTCCGTGTCTTTCCTTCTACTGTTACAAAAGTATCTACTGAGATGTTGAGAAGCTTGTATTTTGTTCTAAACTTAAATTATACAATGTTACGATAATAAGACACCTTTTATTTGTTAAATATTCCTGACTTCATGCCTGGATATACCTGGGTTTTATCTTTATTCCTTTATTTAGATTTTCGAAGCTATAATCAGTCAACGTAACTTCACTGTCCTAGAACAGTGTCGTTCCTTACTGAATGAATCAAATGAATATATTCCTCACAGTGCACATGAATTATGCTCTCGTCTTTTAACAACATGTTATATGTCAACTGAGAATAGTTCCGCGTACACAAGATCACGCGCTAGTCGTTTAGCTCAAGCTATGGGTTCAAAGCATTTAGAAGTAAGAATTTCCCAGTTATTTCTGCTCTTTTACTTTTCTTACACCTTAAATATTAAGTAGCTTGACAGTTTTATGATGATTGCCACTAATAATTGATATAAAACGTTGAAAACCATAGTCAACGAGGTCGTTATGTAACTTGTAGGTCCGATCCCCGGTTAGGTCATGGGTATGTACTGATGAAGAGTCTCAGAGCAGGACGAAACTGCTACCCAGTAGTTCCTGGTTCTCAGTGGTTTTCTAACTGAAGTCAGTTCGTGAACAAACTTAAAAGCCATTCACACCAACTAATTGTGGTTACTCATAAGACCAGAGTGAACTAAATACTTGACAGCTGTTTTGTTCGTCATTTAGTGCAGCGTTGTTGATTATTATTATTATTATTGTATCCTTTAGTTCCTAGAGGAACATAGGGCTTCAGCTGCGCACCTCCATTGCCTTCGGTTTTCTGCCAACTTTTTCACCCTGCTCCAGGTCTGTCCACATGCTTTCATCTCCTCCTCGCATGACCTCCTCCAAGTCACCCTTGCACTGACGACCAACTCGCCGCCTCCCTTTCGGGTTCCACTCGAAGGCTTGTCTAGTGATGTCACTTGATGGTTTCCTCAGCGTATGGCCAATCCATCTCCATCTCTTCCTGCCTATTTGTTTCACAATCGGTTCCTGATTGGTTCGCTCCCAGAGCTTTCTTTTCGAGGTCTGCGTTGTTTGTGGGTGCATAACATTGTATGATTGACACTTTCCTTCCTTTGGAGTTGAATCTGGCGGTCATTATCCTGAACGAAATCGCCTCCCATTGTATCAGGGCTTTCGTTGCCGTTGGTGACATCATGATAGCTACGCCCTCGGTGTGCGTGTGGTTATCTTCTGGGTGACCGGAGTAGATCACTGACTCACCCGTTGACAATTTGGTGAGTCCACTCCCATTCCATCTGCTTGCAGCGTTGTTGAAGGTGTATCTAATTTGACTTCGACTCTCTGGTTCAACTGTTAACACTGGTTTGTGTGAATGGTTTCAAAAAACTTATCAATCAGTCATATACACCATATTCCTTCTACGCTCATTATCGCAACTCTGTTTATAATACTGTTTCTGTTGTGTACTTTGTGGCGTTTTCATTATTGTGTTAAATAATATCATCAGTACTAACTTGAAAAAAAGACTGTAAAAATATTTTGCAAAACACTAATAAAGTCAAAGTAATTCCGAAATTTCAGCTCCGCCATTCACTAATCAGTAAACATACTCGTACTAATCGTAATTTTCTCATCCAGTTAATCTGTACCCATTTCTTTGGTTTTTCGATTAACTATACAGACATAGTTTAAGTTTTCTATTGGAAATTTCTTTTGAATAGAAAAACAGGATATCTGAGGGAAGAATTATTTTTCCAATTACTGTGATATGCGGTTATCGGTTACTGCACAGCAGCCCGGTTTGTCCTTCTTTATAGCTGTGAGACATGTCCATTGAAAGTAATAAGATATGAAAGGCAAGTTGACTTTGACCGCAGAAGTTTGCGTTTCTATACCCTGTTAAGTGGTATAATATGTAAGGTAATAAATATAATATAAAGGAAAAATATAAGGTAAAAAGGGAAGTTAATCAATTAAGTTGTGAAGCTACACCGACTGAAATAGTTAAGACATGTGTTACACATGGAGAGCCTTAAGTGTGCCCACAGTCTAACTCATTAGTCTGTTAAATTAAAACAAACCTCATGTCACATGGTGGGTGTCAACCAATGAGAATTCAGCATGTGAACGTCTACTGTTCAAACCTCGTGAATTAACCAATATATGTCATATATATGTTCTCTCTCGCTTGCTTTGGAAGTACACGTTTCCAAGCCTACTGTATGAGGAGTTGGTTTATTGAATATCCCCGCTAATTGTAGCGTCGTACCCCGTTGCTATGGTGGTTTAATGACAAGTTATATTTCTTGTATGCTTTTTAAGTGAAATTTTGCACTTAAAGTTTTTCTGGCGAACATATTATCAGTGGCATTATATTCTTCAACTGTGTTACATTTGCTGCACTTTTATCAGCAAATAACGCCTGACACTGATATCTGCGCAATGTAGTTGATTGAATAGAGGTAGTGAGTTCAGAAGCGAAGCGTATCTTTTTGAATTTTCATGAAATCATGCTGGTATATTTTGGCCTGTTTATTTGAAAAGCCCAAGTACCCACCGGATAAAAGTGAAATCACTTCAATAAGGGATGTGCCTTATAATCACCCCCATGTGAATCTTCTGGAATTTATTAGTTTTGGGTTGGGGAATAATCGACTAGGAAATCATCAGGCGTTCGTTATCGTCAGTCAGCACTGGTATTCGAACTCGGTGACGGGGAAAACTATGGATCCTACAAAATTAGAATTATTATTGGAGTAACAAATGAGATTAGTGAAAATGCTGATCAGTCGTTTTCAGTGGTGCAAAAGCATTCACTCCCTTTGAACTTTCATACCCATTAAACCGTCATGTTTTCCCATGTTGCTATTCATTCTCCCTCAAATTTCTGCTTATGATGTCTATTTTGAGTCTGTTTTCTTTCCTTTGCCTACCTTTGTGTGATACATGGAGTGTGTCAACTTGAGCTGGTGCACTTCTTTGCAAAATACTATATTGAAACTCCATCATTATTATTTGATGACTTGTAAAATAGTCTGGTGTTAAAAATTCCAATCCTGATTTGTGAATTACCTATGCAAGTAACATGCATTGATGCTGAAGATAATGAGAGGAATTACACACATTTATTTGGGTCAAGAATTTTATTGCAAAAGTGAATAACCTCGACTGTGAAGGGATTGAGGTATGTGTCCCCCGTCTGTTAATGATTGCTTTTTTTCCGTGGACACCATTAGCTGGAATATGATTAGGTTAGAAAGTAGAACTAATTTTAGTTTAATCAAGGTATAACGCCTTACCATGAAGTATCTTACAGTTGATCAGAGCCTTTTTTTTTTTTTTTTTTTTTTTTTTTTTTTTTTTTTTTTTTTTTTTTTTTTTTTTTTTTTTTTTTTTTTTTTTTTTTTTTTTTTTTTTTTTTTTTTTTTTTTTTTTTTTTTTTTTTTTTTTTTTTTTTTTTTTTTTTTTTTTTTTTTTTTTTTTTTTTTTTTTTTTTTTTTTTTTTTTTTTTTTTTTTTTTTTTTTTTTTTTACAGATGGTAAAAGTAATGCCTGGGAACTCAGTAAAATAAACGAAATCCTCATTTATTGCGCTATTTACATTTCTCATTGCTTGGTTTTACTGCAGCGAAATGAACAACTAGAAATTCATTAGCTTTAATGAAAGACAACCGATACCTGCTGTATAAGAAACGGTTCTTTTGGTTCAGCAGCCTGTTGGATAACGTCTTGATGTTTGAAGCGATTAGGGTGGCCTGCTTAAAACTTGGTCTACCAGAAGCTTCCGCCTCTCTATTGAAAACACTTTCTCTCGTTCGGTTTGTTTTAATCGATTAAAATATGACCTCTGGTGGTATAATCTACTCTTGTGTGTAGTTAATATGTTTACAAGCTTCTGAATAACAATTTCCTACTAAACTTGAGGAATGGCCTGATTGTGAGTGGCGACGTATTCCAGTACATGAGATAAGTATCCTTCAGTTATGTCCGTGGGTGTCAAAATGTGCACTTTACAATTAGCTTTCAACGAGATATCACGGATGTCTTGATGGAGACAAAGCAGATATATCATCATGAAATGGTTTGTGCTTCAGCTCAGAGACCATTGTGTCACAGTGTATACACAGGAAGAGATACGCCAAACAATTGTACCAATGGTCAAACAGAAAAAAACAACACACAACTCAACTCTCAAGAACTAAAGGTCCTCAAAAAGCTGTAAAGTAGGAAGGACATCGTCACTCTACCAGCCGAAAAAGGAAGAACAACAGTAGTCATGGACAGAGAAGAATACACCAAGAAAGCTGAAGAACTACTCAAAGACGAGGGTGTATATCAACAAATCCCATACAAACATTGGACAACCGCATGCAAAGGACCTTAAACAAGCTCACCAAAACTGGACAGATCACAAAACAAGACCAATGGCGAATGAAATCCAGTGGACCAGTCCTACTCCGATTCTACGGCAGACCCAAAATACACAAGCCAAATATTCCGTTACGACCAATTATACCACTACCAGGAACTCCAAAATATAATTTATCCAAAGAATTATACAGAAAACTAAAACACCTAACAGAATATTGTGATCACTCCATCAACTCTGCTACTCAATTCCTAGAGGAAATCAGAGGCATCCAAGTACATAAACAAGAAATAATGATATCCTTCCACGTCACAGCATTATATACCTCAATCGGACAAAAACTAGAAAAAGAAACCATGGAGCAATTACTTAGCAACGACGAACACCTTCCACAACAATCGAAAATGCAACACACAAGCTGGATGGAATGCATAAACCTATGCCTAACAACGTATCTCCAATTCGACGGCTAAATATATGAACAAGTCAAAGGAACACCCATGGGATCGCCAATATCAGGTTTGATTGCAGAAGCAGTGATGCAAAGGCTCGAAAACATAATTCTACTAAAGATCAAACCCAAGATTTGGATACGTTACGTAGACGATACATTTGTAATAATCAAAAGAAACGAGTTAGATAAAACTCACAACTTAATAAACAAAGTCTTCAACGACATCAAATTCACAAGAGAAGAGGAATTCGAGAGCAAAATCCCATTTTTGGACGTCTTTGTTAAGCAAAAAACCGCAGGGGAATTAGGAACTGAAGTTTATAGTAAATCAACATACACAGACCAAATCCTGAATTGAAACAGCAACAATCCAATAACACGCAAAAGGAATTGCATAAAAACACTTCAAGAAGACAGCACTCCCACATCAAGGAACAGTGAATAAAGATATCTCATGGACGTTTTCCAAAAGAATGGATATCCACATAATTTAATCAAAAGACATATACCCCCAAGCCAACCTATCAGACAAAAAGCCCACAAGTAGCCTAAAAGGTGTGAAAACACAAAAACAACCAATCACTTTCAATGATTTCATTTTGATTACAGCTTGATGCCACATCGTATTTTCAGTACAAGTATCGAATTTTCAGCATGTGATATCCGTAGCCCAAATTTCTCAGGCCAACCATAGATATCGGGTGTGCGTCGGCAGGGGATCGAACCTCGGACCATGTGCATGGTCGGCGAGAGTCCTAACCACTGTGTCACCAGGAGAGATGATTAACAAACTCGTGGAGAAATCTAAAAGCTCACTTCAAATTGAAGTATGCACTGAAGATGTCGCCTAGTAGGGCGATGAAAGCTTCACAAATTAACTATCCAGCTCAGAGAACACAACCACATCATAAACAGTATATAGTGTTGATTAATGTTTTACGAAGCGGATATATCATGCAGTAAACTCTTGAAAATCCTGTACATTTTCATAAATACTGTCTAGAAGAAAGATGTTATCATTATTATTAAGGGATATATTTGAGTTTTGCACGACTTACAGTCACTGAGTGGGGAACAGCTACTTCGTAATAATAAATCCCAGATAGGATAAAATGTACCTCGTGGAAAACATTTCTTGACGTCATCTATCAAATAATATAAATTATTCACGAGGCTGGAAATATATTTGGTCTTTGTCATCTTGTATGTTCCGAAAATACTCAGTGATCTTTGCGTAGTTATTCTCTGTTCATTCATATTCCTTCTTGTTAGTTTTAGTATTGTTTTTCGCTCTTACTTCTTGTTTTCCGAAGTTTAGCAAGCTAAAGTGATGCACGTCTATACCTGTTTGACAGCAATATTTTCCGCTTTTTCCGGTAGAAAAGTACGCGAACTACAGAATGGGTTAGGTTGCGTGTGATGAACAACTCTGTATGCATTACTTTCTTGTAACTGTGATAACTAACCTTTAAAAAATCCTGAAGTACAGCAGTCTTTATTGCCTTTACTGAAAACCTACTCAATAAACAACATTCATTGTCGGTAAATTTTGTCATTCATTTTTTGTTCTTTCAGTTGCTTTTGTTGTTCAATGAGCCTTCATATGTTGTTGACGGAATCTTGGATGTCAGTCTAAGTACAACCTTCAGTGTTGCTTTACTAGGGATTAGCTCCATCAGAATATCTATAGCAACTGCGACAGGTCCTCACCATGGCATAAACCCTTCATATAAATTATTAGTTTTTAGTCTGCTTATTGTTTAAAGCAATGACAGCATAGACAATTATGCAAGATTCTGTGTTGTTTCGTTTGTCTTCTGAGTTTTATATGTTAATAAGGTGGTCGGCATAGAAGACTTTTTCGTGTTACTTTTTTTTATTAATCCTGGTTTCAGCAGATCAACAGATATGTGGCTTTTGATAGGGAACTCTATAAACAATCATAATGCTTATTTTTGTTTTTACTTATATGCATTTCTTTCAGTCGGATATATCACCACTGATAAATGACTTCATTCAAATGGCTTCAAAAACCTTAAAACTTTCCCAACCACCTCGATATACTGTCCATGGTGGTTCAAGCAAGGAAAGTTTAGCTCTTCAGAATATTCAAGCTCGAAGTCGTATGGTTTCAGCTTATCTCTTAGCTCAATTGATACCGTGCCAATCTAACTTACCATCGAGTCTTTTAATTTTAAGCAGTGCAAACTTAGACGAAGGGTTGAGAGGTTATTTAACAAAGTTAGTTCCAATTTCTCCCTTTTTCTCTTTTATTGTCTCAGAATTGAGTGTGCATGTGTGTGTAGATGGAAAGTGATCATGAGGGACTACCTATGTATGTATCCTTATAAAAAATGTATAAAGTCATATGAAGTTTTGTTTACCTTGATTTCGTCGTACCTGCATTTCGATCAACTTTTAAATTTAAAGAATACTAGATGTGTATGGCGTATCCGTTTTTATTAGAAACTTACAGTTTCAATCAAGCCTTTGTGGAATATTTGTTGGATAGAAAGCACGTGATCTGACGTGTATTTTTACATCTGTGGTCACTGCTTCCTTTCAAGTTAGGATTATTTTGATAGAAGTAGCTGGTAAATGCATGTATTTCTGGTTTTCCGACAGCATATTTCCTGTTATCAGTGCGTCTTTTCAAATCAGTACACACTGTCAATGTTTTTTTAGTTTTTGTGGTGATTCTAAGGTTTGTCACTCAGTAGAGCTAGATTCGATTCTCGGACGATGCATTCACAAACGTTGCCTAGCCGATAGTGAGCCTCGTGAAGAGGGACTGTTGGGCTCGAGGCTAACAACCCCACTCAGTGGAAACAACACTATCGTTACCGAAATTCAAAGCTGAAGGTCTAAATAATACAGAGTTTTGGATAACCAGGATTATTCACTTGATGACTACAATTTCTCTGGCTGTGAGATGACTGGAATATACTATATTGGTCAGGCCCTCATCTACCCAACTGTATAATGCAGACTGGAACAGATTCGAAGTAAAGGTGATCCATGGAAAGTATTAAACTAATCTGTAAATCTACTAATTGCTAATGTCAACACGATAGGGAAGTTGACATTGATAAACTGTAATTAACTCTCAAATTTTCGATAGCTTATATTGTTTACTTGTGTCTGTCAAACTTCGATGAGAGTAAATAACTGAAGACTAATTTGCTAGTGTAAATCGATCATAATAATGTAGAAAATTTCTCTTTTTCAAGCTTTCCCTAAGAAATGAACATCTTATCACTCTTCGTTTACTTTGTCTTTCTGTTTGTCCATTTGAATCCTTCTTGTTCATTCAAAAAAGTCATATATCTTGTATCGATTTTTTCTTTCCGTGTACTTTTATAAATTATAAGGATAAAATGTACTTTCTATAAAGGTTTTATTTGTGACCCTTCTATTTTTTCTACGTATTTTTTGCAATTAGTTCACCTCCCAATGAAGAAAATTATGTAATTACCATAAAGTCTATAGCTTATTACAAAACAACAAATAAGTTTTCAAAATAAAGTATGCAAACTATTAGCTTAAATATTTTGTGTAGCATAGTCGCAACGGAGTAAGGTGGGCATTGCAGCATGCACTTTGGAGATTGAAAAGAGTGAAGAGTGGCAGAGCAGAGCATAAAAGTCAGTAGCCCAATCTTTTAGTTTAAGTAGATTTCCTGTGTAGAAATAACTGCTTGATCAGAGCATATCTTGGGACTGGTGATCAGACAATTTACTAAACTATGACAAGACACTGTTTTCTTTCCTAGCATGTGTGTGGTAAATGAAATTTTACACCTACAGTTGATTGTATCACTAAATATCTCCTCTATAAATGGAATTATTGTTTCAGGATTTCATCACGAACTGATATCGGTTAGAAGACCATTGGAAAACCTGGGAGTACTGGAAAGCGTCGGTGGCGCAGCGGTTCGGATGCTCACTGACCATGCACATGGCCCGGGGTTCGATCCCAGGCCGACGCACTCCTTTACCTCGCTAAGCCAGAAATAATGCTGGTAAAGAGGAAAAATTGGGCATGAGGCTAGCAACCCCATCCTGTAAAACAAACACTGCTACAGAAACTTCAAGCCACTAGCTTGAGGCCCTATGTTCCACTGGGAACGTGAAGGAAAAAAACTGGAAACCAGTTTTGTCCTAGTTTGGGATTTTTCAGTGGTATGCACGAGCTGAGGCTCGAACCCAGGACCTTCTAGTTACAAGGCGATCCCCCAGACTATTAAGCCACTGGGACCGGACCCAAGGGTCCATGAATTCCAACTTCTGCCAATTCATGATATGCCGAGACCACTAGTGAATGTCATCGGTGAGTATTTGTCCTCACACCCGACCTGCTGTACCCCACTGGCCACAACTTCCCGCTACTACGCAAGTAACTACCACCTACCTGAATAGGGCCAGTCACTAGTGAGCATCAGATTAATATTCAAGTGTTGGTTTGCAGGGATTCGATTGGTTGCAGGATTTCATCATGAACTGACATCCTTTAGAGGACCATTGGAAAATCTGAGAGTACTGGACAGCTGTTTCGTCCCAGTCTGGGGCTCTTCAACAATTCATGTCATTTCATAATGAAATCCTGAGACCAATCAAATTCCTGCAAACCAACACTTGAAATTATTGTTTTATTAGTAGGGTTCACATATGCTTTTATGCTTCTTGTATGTACGTTTATTGTAAATTGATAAGTCACAAATTACTCTGATACTGTGAGCCACTTTTTGTGCTCTTGACAGTGCAAAATAATCGAACTGATATTTTACAAAAAGTAATAATTGTTTATTCAAAACATTCTACGAAACATTATCACATGAATTAAGGTTTAAAGGGATTTTTTTAGTATTGATAAGTTAGTAGTACCATATTTCCATGACTTCTTGGATTAATTTCCTAGATGAATACATAAAATTACTTTCATCTAATTTTAAACTAGGTGTGACATAATCTTTGACTGAGATGAAGAATGATATTGAAGCCAAAACGACATATTCAGTTAAAACATAAGGTGTAAAGCACATCTTCTCTCGACAATAATTTACTAACGCCTGTTAAGGTGTAAATCTCGTCATTTTTTTTGCTTTTTTTCGCTGTCGCTAGTTAGTGTTCATTAGTTGTTTCAGGTTTTGCTTGAATTCAATCACCCATCAAACACTTCCTTTTCTTCACAAACTTTCGCTTTGGTTTTTTAAAGATATGATTGCTCTAGTGCAGATTTAAATCCTATAGGAAGTATTAGCAAGTCAGATTTACGATTATTTATTGAATACTGTGCTCAAACATTATCCATCTGTATGGACCCTAAAAATGGAAGACATTTTTCGCAAATATTATCAGAGATTCTTTCAGCTCAGCCAACTGCTGAATTAATGCCACTTGCATCAAATGGTGAAATAAGCCAAACAGATGAAAATGAAATGGGATTAACCTATGATGAATTATCATTATTTGGTAGACTTAGAAAAATATTCAACTGTGGACCCTATAGCATGCTAGAATCACTTCTAGTCAATAGTGATTGGTTGAAGATTAAACATGTAATACCTGAGAGGTGTTTCGACGAAGATAGAAAGCCTAATGCTGAACTTGGTGCGTATCTTAGCGAGAAAGTGAAATTATTCTTTCGTACATATGCTATGAATCGTCATAAGGCTACTGTTCTACCGCCAGCCTACCACACTGAAGCTTATGATGCTGATGATAATCGGTAAGCAGCTCTTTTTTCACACTCAACTATTTGTAGTAAGTATTAAACACTACAGTTTTTTATTATTTGTTTCCGTGTTGGTGATTCAGTGTTAAAATACTCGCCAACCATACATTTGGTCCGGGCTTGATTCTTGACTAACGCACTTATAAACCCCGCTTAGGCTGGTAATGAGGGAAGGTAGGAGTTGAGGCTAGCGAACTCATCCAGTAAAATCATACTACATCTAGTGAAACTTCAAATAGCAAAGTTGACGCCTCCTATATCCCACTCGGGACTCAAAGGAATGAATAAACAGTATTTGATGGTATAATAGATATTTATCAGTTTGTTTAATTCTCCCCTTCAACTAAGAGTTGTACATAATCTTGATGGTATTAGATGCTCAGTGGTAACGTCTCTTACTGCAGCACTGGGTGATGCGGGTTCAAATCTCAGAAGGGATATGAGTTCCTTCAAGGTTGCAGATACGCCTTGCTGACGAGTGCCAACTAGCACGAAACCTAGGTCCAAGGCTTCCTGCCGATTGCCTCCAACCATCTAATACCATCAAATCAATGTGCACCGTGATGGCGAGCTAGCTAGAATGGTGGTCACATTACAACCTGACTGATAAAATTCAGTCTACACCAATCAGAGGACCAGGCGCATCACACTAGTTACTAGTGTCAAATCAAAATGTACATAATCTTTTTGTATGTATTTCACATCTTTATGTGTAAAAAGATTGCATTATTGGCTTGAAGTGACTTATAGTGTAAGTCTGGGTAGCAGCAAATTAATTGTTCAGATGCATTTACGCTGTTTAATATCAGCCGAAAAATAGTCGATGTCAGTACGTTATGTTTATTAGTCTTAAGTGTACACAAATATTTAGGACTGTGTCAGATTGCAATTTTGAGGATAAGAATGACCGATTGGAGACACTTAATGGCATGGATCAAAATGGTTCACAGTTCTAGCAACATGTTAATCTTTTACTATTTTTGGAATTCTTGAGATTCTCAATTGTAATCATTTTCTTCGCGAATGTATATTTTTTCTTATTTTAATGTCACTTTCGTCCTTTTTACCTCGTTTCATCACTACATTGATGTCTGCAATTTAACTTTTTTTTAAATTTTGTTCCTTTACGTTCCTAGTGAAACAAAAGGCTTCAAGCTAGAGCTTTGAACTTCCGGTATCAGTGGTATTTATTTTTACGGAATGGGTTGCTAGCCTCATGCCCAACCTTCCCCTTTTACTAGTCTTATTATTGGCTTATTGAGGTAAAGGAGTGCGTATCCTGGGGATCGAATCCCCAACCATCTGAGTGGTTGGCGAGCATTTTATCACTGTACCACCGACATGATGTCTGTAATCAGGTACTTTTAAATAAAAGAAAAATGAATGCTATTCAACAACCTCTGACATATATATGCAGTTAACAACGAGTTACTTATTCTGTTGAAGAAAAGTGGTACGTACTATCCTGCCTGCCCAAATCTTAGTCGTTGGCTCAAGGTCCGGACGCGTGATCCAAACCGATTAGCTTGCTCTGTATTTTCGTTGTGTAATTCTCTGCATTTTTATATTCTCATTACTGTTTTGTTATGGCCTACATGCATTGACATGAACAAAGAAATATTATGACCGGTTGGAGGGCTTCATCATGAGCTGACATCAGTTAGAGAATCATTGAAAATTCTGGGAGTACTGGACATCTGTTTCTTCCTATTTTGGGACTCTTCCCTAGCTGATGTCAGCTCATGATAAAACCCTCCAACCAATCAAACACAATCCCTACAATGCCAATAGTTGAAAATATTATGACATCTAACAGCCATTTGTTATTCTTGTAAATGTAAGTGTAGTTATTAGTTAACTGCAGCTAGTATATTTTATTGCATAACCCCTTGTTTTTTCCCTTTTATTCCCTACCTTTTAGATTTGATTTTCGACCATATCTGTATCCGTGTGACTGGAATCATCAATTTTATTGTTTAGATAAACTAGTAGCTAAATGGAAACAGCTATTTGAGTGATTAGTATTCAGTCCTTTCAATGTTAAAAATTGATATTTTAATAGTTCCTCTGTTTTCGTTAATCAACTTAATACTGATTATTATAATATGGATATTTTTATATTAACCTTGTGTATAGCGCCTTTGCACATTGACGAATAAAGAGGTAGTAAAATATATCTGTCAATTACTTCTTATTCATAAAATTAGACAAAATAATTTAATCTACAAAATACTTTGCAATGACTGAAGTCTACACCCTAGGTCAGTCGGGTGGGTTGGAGGTAGTCAGATTATGGCTTAATGACACCTTCAGCATTGGGTTTATTCATGATAGACTCTCTTTTAATGTTCGAATGGCGATTTTTTATAAATTAGAAAGATTCTATTTATGAAAAATAAAGGGTGATACATTTGAAAAGACTTGTATTCCATTAATTAATACTGAAGATTTCTTGTTTACGAATTGTTAGACTACCTTTTTTCGTTTAAACAAAGTAAGTAAATATTTTAGCTCAATTAAAGGTTATATGCCTGTCCTTATATTTTTCTTTCTTCACACTTCTAGACTGAATTGATCGGATTAATTTAAAAAAAATATTGACTCTTTGACTGAATACCTTGCTGTCTTCTTGACTTCTGACTTAATGCTGCTTGTGTGATGGTCACTGCCGACGAAATTTTATATATATATATATATATATATATATATATATATATATATATAGCCATAGCCGTACAATTCTATTCTGAACGTAGTGCATGAGGCTGCAATTCACGTTACTTTACTGACTTAGATCTAATAGGATCGAATGTCCATTTTCACCCTCTACCAATGATGCAGAACACTAGTTGGTTTCTGTGGAGAGCTGAATTTTATTGCTGGTAATCATAGTTAGCTGAGTGATGTGACGGGAGTACGACGAGAAGTTTGAAACAGAATTTGCCCCAGAACCATTAACCGCCATCTGGGAAGACAGCCACCTACACCATGAGTGTGTCTTTCACAAAGGTTACCTACTTTCATTTCTAGAATGTCATGTAGGAATATGTAGATCAGTCTTATTCTTACATTCGGGGATCTCACCATCTTTAGGGCTTTAGAGACTAGGAGAATAAAGTTCTCAATATGTTTAACCAAACCTGATATATTCATAATTGGTGGTGGCTTACCTTAAAGAGCTACGGCAGTTTTTTCCAACCCTTACAGCTTAATGAGCAGGTTGTCAGTCAGTAGTTTGCCGTATAAATCCTTCCAATCAGATAGCCTCTTCCTAATAAGTTGCTGTTGCGCACCAGTACGTTGTACAGTATTCTGGTGCTAGAACGACTGTCCCCAGTATTACCTCCAGCGCTGGGTTGCCCGTCGTTCGTTTTAAAATATCTATTCTGATCATGGTTCACAGTTCTATCAATCTGTGTAACTGCAAGGGTTGATGCAGCTGTTGGATTCAGTGTTATTATCAGCTGCTACTCACTCCATAGCGTCTGTGGGGCTTATACGAATGGGACGAATGTCGCGTGTAGCTTCCTAGTGTTTTGGGGATAATTCATTTTACACTCCCAACCCATCTACTAAACTGTATTGGTCGGTGGACAATTTTTGATGACTAAGTAGTACAGGGATAGCCTTAATGACAAGTTATGACTGCTGTATTAGAGCGTCTAATGTACTTCCTGACTAAAGCTACCTCAGAATGTGTTCGAATAGCACAATAGATAAACAAACTAGAAGCAGGTTATTTCGAATAATATTATAGTGGCAGTCCACCAGCCGATTGGAAAAATTCTGTTCAGATGCCTCGTCGCTGTTACTTAAGCTTATACTGAGTTCATTGTCAGCAATGGTGTGGTTTAGTTAGGTTTCAGTCATAATTATTTTGAGGTTTATGTGTAACTGGAGGTCTCTGAGTTTGCCTTTTCCTTCTCTCAGCCTTCTTATATTGCTCTATAGGCAGCTGAAAGTGAGTGTCACCACCTCAACGTGTTGTGGGGTAGTTCAAACCACGTAGGTTGCTAGTAGATGATTTAATATTGGAACATCCAGCGCTGGGTTGCCCGTCGTTCGTTTTAAAATATCTATTCTGATCATGGTTCACAGTTCTATCAATCTGTGTAACTGCAAGGGTTGATGCAGCTGTTGGATTCAGTGTTATTATCAGCTGCTACTCACTCCATAGCGTCTGTGGGGCTTATACGAATGGGACGAATGTCGCGTGTAGCTTCCTAGTGTTTTGGGGATAATTCATTTTACACTCCCAACCCATCTACTAAACTGTATTGGTCGGTGGACAATTTTTGATGACTAAGTAGTACAGGGATAGCCTTAATGACAAGTTATGACTGCTGTATTAGAGCGTCTAATGTACTTCCTGACTAAAGCTACCTCAGAATGTGTTCGAATAGCACAATAGATAAACAAACTAGAAGCAGGTTATTTCGAATAATATTATAGTGGCAGTCCACCAGCCGATTGGAAAAATTCTGTTCAGATGCCTCGTCGCTGTTACTTAAGCTTATACTGAGTTCATTGTCAGCAATGGTGTGGTTTAGTTAGGTTTCAGTCATAATTATTTTGAGGTTTATGTGTAACTGGAGGTCTCTGAGTTTGCCTTTTCCTTCTCTCAGCCTTCTTATATTGCTCTATAGGCAGCTGAAAGTGAGTGTCACCACCTCAACGTGTTGTGGGGTAGTTCAAACCACGTAGGTTGCTAGTAGATGATTTAATATTGGAACATCCAGCGCTGGGTTGCCCGTCGTTCGTTTTAAAATATCTATTCTGATCATGGTTCACAGTTCTATCAATCTGTGTAACTGCAAGGGTTGATGCAGCTGTTGGATTCAGTGTTATTATCAGCTGCTACTCACTCCATAGCGTCTGTGGGGCTTATACGAATGGGACGAATGTCGCGTGTAGCTTTCTAGTGTTTTGGGGATAATTCATTTTACACTCCCGACCCATCTACTAAACTGTATTGGTCGGTGGACAATTTTTGATGACTAAGTAGTACAGGGATAGCCTTAATGACAAGTTATGACTGCTGTATTAGAGCGTCTAATGTACTTCCTGACTAAAGCTACCTCAGAATGTGTTCGAATAGCACAATAGATAAACAAACTAGAAGCAGGTTATTTCGAATAATATTATAGTGGCAGTCCACCAGCCGATTGGAAAAATTCTGTTCAGATGCCTCGTCGCTGTTACTTAAGCTTATACTGAGTTCATTGTCAGCAATGGTGTGGTTTAGTTAGGTTTCAGTCATAATTATTTTGAGGTTTATGTGTAACTGGAGGTCTCTGAGTTTGCCTTTTCCTTCTCTCAGCCTTCTTATATTGCTCTATAGGCAGCTGAAAGTGAGTGTCACCACCTCAACGTGTTGTGGGGTAGTTCAAACCACGTAGGTTGCTAGTAGATGATTTAATATTGGAACATCCAGCGCTGGGTTGCCCGTCGTTCGTTTTAAAATATCTATTCTGATCATGGTTCACAGTTCTATCAATCTGTGTAACTGCAAGGGTTGATGCAGCTGTTGGATTCAGTGTTATTATCAGCTGCTACTCACTCCATAGCGTCTGTGGGGCTTATACGAATGGGACGAATGTCGCGTGTAGCTTCCTAGTGTTTTGGGGATAATTCATTTTACACTCCCAACCCATCTACTAAACTGTATTGGTCGGTGGACAATTTTTGATGACTAAGTAGTACAGGGATAGCCTTAATGACAAGTTATGACTGCTGTATTAGAGCGTCTAATGTACTTCCTGACTAAAGCTACCTCAGAATGTGTTCGAATAGCACAATAGATAAACAAACTAGAAGCAGGTTATTTCGAATAATATTATAGTGGCAGTCCACCAGCCGATTGGAAAAATTCTGTTCAGATGCCTCGTCGCTGTTACTTAAGCTTATACTGAGTTCATTGTCAGCAATGGTGTGGTTTAGTTAGGTTTCAGTCATAATTATTTTGAGGTTTATGTGTAACTGGAGGTCTCTGAGTTTGCCTTTTCCTTCTCTCAGCCTTCTTATATTGCTCTATAGGCAGCTGAAAGTGAGTGTCACCACCTCAACGTGTTGTGGGGTAGTTCAAACCACGTAGGTTGCTAGTAGATGATTTAATATTGGAACATCCAGCGCTGGGTTGCCCGTCGTTCGTTTTAAAATATCTATTCTGATCATGGTTCACAGTTCTATCAATCTGTGTAACTGCAAGGGTTGATGCAGCTGTTGGATTCAGTGTTATTATCAGCTGCTACTCACTCCATAGCGTCTGTGGGGCTTATACGAATGGGACGAATGTCGCGTGTAGCTTCCTAGTGTTTTGGGGATAATTCATTTTACACTCCCAACCCATCTACTAAACTGTATTGGTCGGTGGACAATTTTTGATGACTAAGTAGTACAGGGATAGCCTTAATGACAAGTTATGACTGCTGTATTAGAGCGTCTAATGTACTTCCTGACTAAAGCTACCTCAGAATGTGTTCGAATAGCACAATAGATAAACAAACTAGAAGCAGGTTATTTCGAATAATATTATAGTGGCAGTCCACCAGCCGATTGGAAAAATTCTGTTCAGATGCCTCGTCGCTGTTACTTAAGCTTATACTGAGTTCATTGTCAGCAATGGTGTGGTTTAGTTAGGTTTCAGTCATAATTATTTTGAGGTTTATGTGTAACTGGAGGTCTCTGAGTTTGCCTTTTCCTTCTCTCAGCCTTCTTATATTGCTCTATAGGCAGCTGAAAGTGAGTGTCACCACCTCAACGTGTTGTGGGGTAGTTCAAACCACGTAGGTTGCTAGTAGATGATTTAATATTGGAACATCCAGCGCTGGGTTGCCCGTCGTTCGTTTTAAAATATCTATTCTGATCATGGTTCACAGTTCTATCAATCTGTGTAACTGCAAGGGTTGATGCAGCTGTTGGATTCAGTGTTATTATCAGCTGCTACTCACTCCATAGCGTCTGTGGGGCTTATACGAATGGGACGAATGTCGCGTGTAGCTTCCTAGTGTTTTGGGGA